ACACTAATACACAAGGGTAATGAGTGCTGCCAATGTCTCCCCTGCTTTTGGGAGAAAGAGCATTCATTATCAGCACCATGCACTTATAAAAATGAAACGTCAATAAGACAGCCAGAACACAAACCCTCGCTCACACACCCTGTAATGACTGCCAGGCTTGCCAAGAGACAGACGCACAGGTAAAGAGACTGAGAATGGGAAACAAACAGTAAACAGTAATTGAGTTGGCCAGTTAAAGCATTGTCAATATTATGCTCTGCGGTATTCTGGCTGCATAGCTTAACTCATATTTAAACATTACCACAAAACAAGCTTCACCTAGTATTACTAATTTCTTTCTATGTTATCACTGCAAGTGAAAGTAGTCATTTCTGGCTTTAATAAAATACATTTACGTGGAATATGAATACAGTGTTTGAGATGAAATACTGAGAGAGCACTGTATGACACATACAACAAGTGCTTGTTCAGCAAATCAGAACTGAATGAGAAACATCTCCGTTCCTGTCATGATGATTATCCCCCAGCATGCAACACTTTCCTCCAGCAGAGTTTCAACACAGCTTCAGTGCCTCGAATGCTGAGACATCATCACCTAGGCGGGTGAGAGGGGAATGGCTTCAAAACTCCCAAGTTCACTCATCATCTTTATAGTTGGCCATTCAGAAGACAAAGATGACAGGTTCTCACTCACATTAACGAGCTGACGGCCACGGAGAGGATGCAGAGGAAGTGAAGGGATGGGGGGATGAGAGAAAGAAAGAGAGAGCCATAAAACTGAGATGGGATGCCCAAGGCCAACACATGAACTCAGGCCCTCTCTGTGGAAAGATGGGCCCTCAGGGGGACACAGATTACATATAGAGGAGTGCATGTGTGTGAGTGTTTTGCTGTCAGTGTTAGGACATTCATTTTTGTATAAATAAGGGGGACACACTCCATAAAACTCCCTAAATGAAGTCAGGATGATTGGCTATAACATTCCTAAAGATTCAACATTTATCAGTTCATCTATGAGGATTTCATGCAAAAGACATGTTAAGTCTGTCACAAATAAGTAGGAGTAAAAAGGACCTTCGTTACCACCAAACTGATATTTGAATGGAATAGGTCAAATAATTAATGTCGTTTTGTATTTGACAGATTACTTTTGCCCCAGATGCAGAGCTTTTACCACTGCACTTGGATTATTCTCTCTCCACTTCTGTGCAACTCAAATTAGCATTGATTCTACAATACAATATTTACCTAGAATGGTCCTTGGAGAGTGCAGACCTTTACCAAGGTTAATGGCAAAATGGTTACAAAAATGAAACATAATATGATTTTCCCCGTCGGATTCACAACAATTTAAAATGTAATTGGCTCTTCCTTGGCCCATGATACACCCTTGCATCAAGTTTCATGATAATTGGTCATATATATTTTTTTGTTATACTGCTGACAGACACAAAGACAAACCAAGCTGCAAACATAACCTCACTGTAGGTTATAATAAGGAGGTGTAATAAGGTGTCAGTACACGTCTGTATTGGAATTCAATTTTCATTTATTAGTCCAAACATTTGTGGCCATTTCAACTTTCCATACTGCCTACCTAGATGATCCTGTACCTCTTGTACGAGCTGCAGTACGAGCTGTACGAGCTGTACCTCTGTTGAGCTTTGGTAGTGAATACTAATGAGGGGTTCACTGAGCTGGAACTTTTCTGCTTCCTACAGTATGTAGCAAATGTCTGCTGAGCAGAAATAACCGTCTTAATTCCAGGATTTCTGAGTATTCCCATGAGGATACTGAAGAAAGGGAGGTGAGAAGAGAGAGTGTGTGTGTGTGTGTGGAGTCATTTGTTTGAACTTAATTTGCTGCTGAGTCAGCACAGTGGCAACAAGAGGCAGCGACGGGAGTAGACCAAGGGATTTCCGGAGCCCAATCGAAGAAGCTTCTCAGGAGGATTCACTTTGGCCTATTCCATCCCATCATCCAGACGCAGAGATCTTTAGTGTGTGTGTGTGTGTGTGTGTGTGTGTGTGTGTGTGTGTGTGTGTGTGTGTGTGTGTGTGTGTGTGTCTGTGTGTGTCTGTGTGTGTCTGTGTGTGTCTGTGTGTCTGTGTGTGTGTCTGTGTGTGTGTGTGTGTGTGTGTGTGTGTGTGTGTGTGTGTGTGTGTGTGTGTGTGTGTCACAAAGTGGCTATTGATGGAACTTGCTTGGCAGATTTCCCTGTGTCTGGGGAATCTCAGCCCAAAGTGGCTGCTGTGCGGCTGTGAGAATGTGTCAGAGAGAGTGTGACAGTACGGGTTTGTGGGTAATTAGTGCTAATGTGCGCACTGGGATTATCAGTAAGATAATTTGGTATATCTGTAAGTACAGCTTCAACATGTGAGCATGTCAAGGCTCTGTGTCTGACTGCACAAGTTACAACACTCTTTCATTTGATCCTGTAGCAGCCTCACTATGTTAGGTGCTGTCTGGCTGTCGAGCTATAAAACAGACTGATTCTGCTGACTGTGAGAGAGACACCCAAAAACTCACTCAACCAGACACATGTAAGCATTAAACTGCTTTTCTTGGTGAGGAAAGCAGCTTTAGGGAGTTCAACAGCAGGAGGTGAGCTGTCAGGGATTTTAAACCTTCAAAGTGTCAGGGATAGAAAGAGTGTGTGCGTTTAAAAACACCAGAAGTGCCTGGCCAGCACACAGGAGATGAATATCTATATGTCTGCATTTGCATCAAACAAGAACGATAGTGGAGAGGAGCCTTCTACCTGAAAATATATTTTGCCTCACCTGTCAGTTTGTAAATGCTTCTTGGCAATAATCCTTCATCTCACAAACATCCTGTTTTCTGAGGTCATCACAAAACACATACAGCCAGATCTAGGGAATGATACTGTCATTTCTAACAAAAAACATGTTTGTTTACTATTTTTATGATGGCTATTTATACAGATCAAATTATTCAAATGGGTCTTTCCACCCACGATGAAGATTTGTTATACTATTGTTGGTGATTTAAATTCTTCTAGTTTTGTAAAACAATAAAGGCTTCCCTCCAGTAGGTGCCTTGGGCTTTGAATCCAATTTTCTTAGTGATCAAACTGTGAGATTACAACTTCTGGGTCTGTCGTGTGATGCTATTCAACCTAAAGATACTTTTTATTACACTTGAAACGAGAAAGAGAAGTCTGTAAATCAACAGATATTTATTATAGTTAACTCAAATTCCGAAGGGTGGTTTAACACTCTGCAATCAAGCCATGTTGTCTTCATGCGCCACTGAGCAACTTTCACAGGAATGAATGAGGGCCGGGCTCCAACACTGTGTCGTGTTCCTCATACAGCCATGGAGTATTGAACAAGGCAGGTGGGAAGCGAATAATTCATTCTAAATAAGTGTTTCAGTAAGAAAGTAGTGAAATGCACTGAGAGGTAATTTGATGCACGTCATGTTACATTTTTAAATGCAACCACAGTCCACTGCTCAAACACTGATAACATTTGAATGCTCGTCAAATCACATCTGATGTTTCTGTCGGCATCAACAAGTACCTATCTCACTCGCAGGTTCATTCAAATCAATACATAATGATAACTAACTAGTTGATTTATTTTTAGTGGATACAAATGCCAAAAGTTGGGACAAAATCATTGTAAACAAAGCCAAGAGTGGCCTAAAACATTATGAATTTCTGTAAATATTTCATGATATTACTAAAGCACTGAGTAGTTAAGTGACAAGCAATTACGTGCAAGATTGGAAAAGCAGTTAAATAACAGGAATTCAAAAAAATAGTGGGATTGGCCTGAAAGTGGATGGCCTGATTTTCCTTAAATGTATTATTGCCACGTCAATGTGTGTGCTGTAAGTAAATAAGCTCATCAAAAATCATTAGACAAAGCAACTAACACTGTGGCAAATGTTTGAGAGTCCACAGTTAAAATCACCTACAAAGGAGCTTTTTATTTTTTATTTTAAGATGAATAGAAGATGAAAATATAGAATTACAGTCCAGTATGAATACAAGAGCAAGACCTTGCTGCAATCACATTCCTAAACTCCATTTACCTGCATTGACCTTAATTGTCCAGTCATATTCTAAGGGAGTACATGACATTTTAGCAAGGCCACAATGAGGTCCTCCTTGTAGCACATTAAAGTCTAAAAATGAGTAAATGCTAAAGGGCTCGGTGCTGACCAGTAGCTACTGTTTTTCAAATAAAGAGTTTACAAAAGGGACAATAAAAAAGGAACAAGTTCACAGATAACTCCATTTGATATTTAACCTGCTGTGAACTCCAGTTGTAGCTGTTGTAATCTTGGTGGCTCCTACAGTCCCAGTTTTTAGAACACACAATTCTAACATCTCTACCCGTCTTCTTGAAGTAAATCAATTTAACTTGTTTTCTAACACCATCAGGCCTCTTTAGTTTTTAGTTTTTTTAAATCAGAATTCACTGATCACTGATTGTTATTGTTTATCTGAGCCCTGTGCTACTTGATTTCCTTCTAGCTGTCTTTCTTTAACCATGGTTTAAATAACTCTGAAAACACTAGCTTGGTACAGTACACACAGACTTTATATTCACTAAGGATTTCCATATGCACATTTTAAATTCATAATCTTTTTAGCTATATCCTCCAACTTTTTTCAAGTTATTGTGCCCCATAAGGATATCGTCATATGTTCTCTGAGTGACGTCTTCCACAATACACTGGGCCCTTGCTAATCCAATGAGAGCTTAGAAAAAAATGATTTAGTCGAGGAAACAGCACGGCTCTCAGCCTCAGTGAGATGCACTAATGGAAAAAGATAGCATTTAGTTTGGTAAACAGAAGGAGGTAAAATGCATTTAGGAATTCAAGCAAAAACAAAGCAATATACCTGATTGTCTTGGAGAAATGATCCGGTTTGAAGGTTGTTTTGAAAGAAAAAGTTTACCACCCATGAATTATGTTGTTTGTGTTTGTTTGTATGTGTGTGTGTGTGTGTTTATGCTTCTTACCCACGGTTAGCTGACCCATCAGTTGTCCCTGATCGTTCCTAGCATTGACCGTCACATTTCTGTCCGACTGTATGATCAATGGACTGTCCTAAAGAGGGAGGAAGAGGGAAAAAGGTGGTTATGGAAACAGAAAGTGGTAATATTTCTTTCTCAGTCACATACAAATCTGTGTATACTGATATACCTTTAGTTTCCATACCAACACACATGCTCTTTGCTTTCTTTCTCCCCCTGTAGCCTCTACACTTGCCCTTCCAGGCACCAGTCAATACTGTATTAACCTTATAACCAATACTGCCCTAAACTGTATCAACATTCACAGTTCACACTTGACTCCCTCACTTCAGCCATACTTTGCATCACATTTGCATAATGTATTCAAGACAGCCTCCTGTCTGTCAGTGTGTTTGCTTGTTTCCAGTTGTGCGCAAAAGAGCAATTATTCTCAACATAAATGAGCTTAATGCAACTGTGACCATGACCTCTGCTCCCCTCTTAAGATTCTGATGGAGCCACACACGCTGCCCAAATCGGTTTACATTCGGTGGCTGTGTGTTGCAATGAATGCTAAACCCTGTGTCTGCTATTTTCATTAAGTTCCAAATTCAATCTAACAGCTGACTGTCTCTCTCTATCTCTTTGCCCCTCACCTTTCTCGCAGTGAGTAAAATCATCGTACTTACAATCTTCACCAACTTTTCTTAGCTTGCTTTTCTCTTTCCCCCTTTCATTATATCTCTGCACTTACATGAATTTATTTGTATTCTCTTTCCCTTCACTTCTCTCCCTCTATCTTTTAAATTGCTTATTTGTTTTGGCGGCGTGAAATGAATAGCTCACAGGTGACCCAATTTCTCTCTTGATTCCCCAAATTAATATCTTGCTGCATTCAAGTCTGAATTCCAAATGAGAATGTTGATCAAATTGGAAAGTCGTTGATCCGTTAAAATGGAAAGATTCCTCTTTCTCCCCAACCCTTCCTCCATCCTATTCTCTCTCAGACGGCCTCTATCACCCCCTCTTTGTTTTGCTTTTCTTTTGGATGCATATTCATTGCTTTTGCGAGTCAAGACCACATTTATAATATGTCACACCTGTCTGTTCTCTAATTTGAAGCGTCCAGGGTCTCCTGGGGACGAGCTCATCACAAGCACAAACACAGACCAGGGGAAAAGTGTGAGGGACTTTCAGAACACACACACTTAATGCATACACAAACACAATGAATAAACAGTACACACAACACAATTAAACAAACCACCCACTCACACAGAGTCAGGTAACACATTTTCCAAACAACAAATGAGTGCTCCACGAGGTTTATTGTGCAATGCCACTCTCATCGGATACCTAATCCATGTATGCTGGATGAATCTTTGTCAACGGGGCGTGTGATAGGCTTCACTATATTATCTTTCCACTCTGTTAAGAGGGATGGGCGCTTAGTAAAGCACAGCAGATGTAATGTGCCTCCAATCATTCCAGCTCAATGGGCAGTGTGCATGAACAGGTCTGATCCCATTCATTTAGTGCAGGACTCTGTCATTTAGAAGTGCATCCGTAGATGGGGAATCTTATTTGATTAAGCACCCATATGCAGATGCATGGAAATTAGGGCTGTAAATAATTGCTGCATATTACACAGCTGCTAATGTCTATTTATACAACAGCTGATTGAAGACAAACAATCTGACTGTTGGGGCTGAAGGAACACCCAGGAGCAGGTAACAATATGGACTGTGCTTCTTGATGCAAAAAGTGTTCATTTCCACCTCGGGCAATCAACAATTATTACAGTTCAAAACCTCACGCATCGAATCGTGAGCTCATTATTACCTTGGTAACCACTTCTCACATTTGTATGTACAACATACACCACATCGCATATAGAAATGAGTATACCGTTTTTCATCATACCAACATAGACTGGGCCTGTGTTCGTTAATGAACAATTCATACATTTCACACTTTATTATAAAATCCATGTGCTGTGTTTGCAGTCTTCTTCACTGTGATAGTTGAAAACGTGCTTTTGGGATGCATATTCTGCGTGGATCAATGTGTAATGTGCAGAAACATGCCGTGTCATAAGTTCAGGAAAGGAACATAGTTGTATCAAACTGACTTGTATAGAGCTGCTGCTTATACAGACCTATTGAGCTAGCTTTATGTGACATTAAAGCCATGAAAGCTCTCATCTTCAGTGAGGTTTTTCTTGATGTTTGATGACGGTTTGAAGTTTTACTCATTTTAATATTAGTTTGATGTTCATCCTTTTGGAGTTATACTGAAAAGTTCATTGCACTGCATGATGGATCTGTAATACTTTATGACATGAATCCATCAGGTGATGCGTACACCATCTCTACATTGTTTGATGTTGTTGGTTGATGGAATTATTATTACACACTCTGTGAAGTTACTGTGTGTGTGTGTGTGTGTGTGTGTGTGTGTGTGTGTGTGTGTGTGTGTGTGTGTGTGTGTGTGTGTGTGTGTGTGTGTACATACTACGAATACATGAACATATCTCAAGGCCACTATTTTATGCAAGTTGCAGGCCGCAGCTGCTGTGTCAATGATGAACATGTACACATACACACACTCTTATAGTGACTGTCACCAAATAATTAAACCGACTCAATCTCAGATAAGCCTCAATACAATCTTCAGAACCCTCTTCACATACAATGACATACATTCGAATGCATCTTACAGCATCTTCCCATAATCAGTTAGCCTATGTGAAATGCATTATAGTAATATATTTATAATTCTATCATAGACATAGATATCCTCATGCAGCCACATGGAGACAGTTAGGGCTCTCAGTGAGCTCAGACATTCTCCAAGGCTGTTATAAGTACAAAATAATCTTTGCATCAGCACCATGATTAGGATCTGCTCCAAAATGTAATGTGTTCTTCCATGGCCCATGGTTCACCCTTCTACAACGTTTAGTTAAAATGGGGCTATATGTCTTTACATGTTTCATGATCCTGCTGACAAACAGACAAACCAAAAGCAAACCAACAGACAGAACCGAATATAAAACCTCATTGGCGGTGGTAACAGGCCCATTTTGAAATAAAAAACAAACAAATAAAGTTTAACATGGCGTAACAACAAGCGTACAAAAAGTATTTTAGGAAATTGGTTCATTTATCAAGGTAAGTGATACTAATTGTTTAGAAGATTAGATTGCAGAGAAAAGTAGTAGTAAGATTTAAGGCGGGTAAAAGGGTGGGAAGGTGAGAAGACAGCCGATTCTAAAAGGCCTCTCTCAAAGATGGGGAAATGCTGTCTTTCATTTGAAGGGAGAGCGAGCTTAAACTTTAAAAATTGAGATTTCTTTCTTGAAATGATTTCACAGTCTGGAACACAGTTGTTCACATGAAAAAGTGACAAAAATAGTAAACAACGAAAGAGAGCAAACAGTTTAAACCATTGAAACTGCACAGCTGGCAAATCACCATACAGAGAAATGTATATGAAATATATTTAAAAAATGATTATCATCATGTAGCATTTCCTCACGTACTAAGCATCATTTGTGATATTTACTTTGTGCTCAGATCACTTCTCTGTTTACCTCCCTCTGCTGCTCTCTGGATTGTCCCTCTGGCTTTTGTGTTTAGAGTCTCGCTCATAAATCTCCCCTCATCGTGTGAAATGTGCAGAGAGGCACCAATAAACACACTGAAGGCACATGCATCGTGCTCTCTCTTGTGAGATACACAACGTACACCACAGCGCCATTAATTCAGTTAATAGTTTAATTTCACTATGATTATTAATGCCGGCATAGAGCTGCCAGCCTGAAGTAGCCAGTGTAATTAGTCAGGTAATAATAAGCCGTGGACTGTTGCTGGAGCTCATCCTCACAGCCTCCAGCCAGCAGTAGAGATGGGTCATAATGTCTACCTGTCTCACTGGCTGTCTCACTAACTCAACGCCTGTCTCACTGTCAGCCTATACAGGTCTGGACTGAAGGTCATAAGTGATCTGATGGGTTATTTGTGTTTAGTCATCACTCTAATAAGTGCTTTCAGCCTTCCTGTCTGACTATCTACATCCATACAGTATCCGTCTCAGCAGCAATGTACTCAAGCCTCATGCAAGATACATTTGGTTGATTCATCTTTGCCATCAGCCTAATAACTGCTTTTAGCCCGCCTGAGTGTAGTGAGATGCGATCGCCTGTCTCAATGACTGTCCATCTCTCTTTATAAAAGGCAGGGACATGGGCTTAACAGGATATACTTTTAACTGTCAGTTTAACAAAAAGCCTCCAGCCCTCTTATCTCTGGTCCGTGATATTCTCTTCCTTTCTCTTTGACTGTCCAAAAGCCCAGTCTACCTGTCTGTCGGCCACTCAGTCTGACTTGTGGTTAGTGTGAACTTTGTCCAGGTCAGTCCAGATATGAAATATGTCACAAATTGAAACTATGGTACGAGCATTTATTTTTTAACAACATTGTTTTAGTCTGACAAGAAAAGGAAATGCTTTTCAATGTTCTGTGTTATTGATCAGCCATTTCCATATAGTTCAAACATCCAACAACTGTTCTTTTGGCTACGTGGGGTCACTGAAATGTAATGCATTACACAAATATTGATTACAACCACTTATTTGTCTACAAGCTGATTTTTATAACATGCATTCATCAAAAGGAACCACCGACTACCTCAACAAAGACAAATCTAGACCTTATAGCTTTAGCTTTAATGCATATTGCAGAAACAAAATGTCAGATTTAGCAATATTGTGTAGGCCTAAGAGCAAGATAGGGTGATGGGTTGTTTATTATCCAATCTTAAACAGAATACAAATCAAACAGCGTGTGATCAAGGGCCTGCTGTGGTTTGCCATTACTCTTTCCACTAATTAGCAAGGACTATTAAACATGTGATGTGTCTGTTGGTATGCAGTGCTTATTTGTTGTTTTCTGATGTTCTGACAATCTTACTCTCTTGGTACTTTTGCTTAATATGCTGAAGAGCCACCCTTTGGACTAAGGGGCCTTACCAACTATTTAATATGTCATCCGCGTCCCGTACAAGCCTTGTGTCAACAGTTTTGAGATCAAT